AGATTGCAGGGGGGGGTTTATTCCTTTTCTAATACGATTGTGAGTGCATGTAAACACTCGATCGGACTGAACCCCGAAACTGAATGGACTGCGCATGTGCATTGTGCAATGATATAGCATTAGCATATAGAAATAGCGTAATGACGTATGACGCACGGAACGAGCGGTTCTCCTTTCACTCGGCAACTGTGAAGTGGAGCAGGACAACCTCCCACCAGTCCTTGTTTTAGATTCTCATCCACAGGCAACCTGTTTTGGGCGCGGGGAGGGGCATTTTTACTGTGTGATAAATATGAGCAGCACGGCACAGCGGTTTATATGTATATTTATACATAAATGGATAAATATTACTTCTGCTGTTAAAAACAAATAAAGAAACCGTGTAGGAGAGTGGTTATTATGTGCAAACAGTGAGAAACTCTATATTTGTGCTATAAAAAAATAAATAAAATCAATTCCGATTTGACGCTTGTGACATATAAACGCGCACATCAACCCGATCACTTTATTTAGCGTTCATGTAAACACTACATTCAGATTCATCAATCGGAATGAATTCAGTCCGATTTAACCAAAAATTGTGCATGTAAACGTAGAGTGAGTGGGGAAATCACAATTGGGGTAGTGACTGTCTAGTATAATGGAAAGGTAGTGACCAAAGGAAAACATACTTCAAATGAAAAGTTACTAATGAAATTGAAAAAGATAGTGGTCATTATTGGATGACTTGCAGGTCATTAAAAAGTATCAGCAACAACAATAGATGCTAGTTTGTTTTAAGAAATAAATGTTAAATGGGCTTGGCATACGGCATTTTAGTTTATTGACATAGACTGCGTTCATACACGTGCGTTTTTTATAAATAAGCAGCCTGAGTCCATTACGTAACGTTAGTGTCTTTGTTATCAGATATGAACCCATTTGCGTCATTTTTAGCGCTGCAGGAAACCTGTGCTCCCATAACAGTTCTGAGGTCAGCCACTGAAAACAGTTATTAACGAACTTAAAAGCACCCCCTCCACAAAGCGTCAGATCCGTGATCAGGCTCCGTCATGCGTGAGCGCGCAGGTCCAAATGTGCGTGTGTGTGTGTGCGTGCGGTGCTAACAGACAGTCTTATGCAAGCCGCCCTACACAGAGCCACGATGTCCGACGCTGCTGCTCCAGCAGACAACAATGGGGAGCCTGGGTTAAACGGTATGTACAGCCGGAGCACCTCGCTGTATTGCACTGACATCTATAAAATCTGTTAGATAAGCCTTTGACTTATCTGTATTGGTGTTTTTTGATAGTTTTAATTATTTTACTTCATGTAAAATGCTCTTTTTTTAGTTCCAGTCAACATTTCTGTGCCATAAGGAGGGCGGGGTTTGCTGTAATACTAATGCGTCATGTTTATTGACACGCGTTCTGTCCAATGGCCGTTGAGGTTGTGTGTTGAGGCGGGTCTTAAAACGTGGTTGACTTGAACCTAAACCAATAGTGTGACTAAACGTTTTCAGTAGGCTGGCCTAAACCGATGTCAACAAGGCGAGAACTAGAGCAACTCGATAATGGAGATTGTGGATGCTTGAAACCCCATGTTCATTCGTGTAATAAATATGTAACACATACCCGTGTTTCTCCGGTGTGTTTATAAGAAGCGGCTCAAAGAAAAAAAAATGTTTTGTTTTTGTTCATATATGTTTGACATGTAACGTATGGCATGTGGCAGCGAATGAGGTCTTTGTGTGATCTGCGAGATTGCAAACAAACTGGTCTAGAAAGTGGCCTCTGACACTTAGATTTAACTTGTTGTTAACTAATATTTAATTGGCGTGGTAGACGAAAACCCGTATGAAATGCATTTAAAAATAACTTGAAGGCGAAAAAGTAACCCTTAACATCTAGAGCCAGACCATAAACATATAGTTCATTATCACACAGTATGTGTGGATTTGCTAAAAACATTATTTGTCAGCCTGCTATTTAAAATCCATATCAGTTAATTCGTCATTATATATACAATTTTTGGTTACAAATAGTGGGAATTCCTAAAGATGCGCTAAAGTTACAGGAGACTAATACATCTTGAAATTCCTGGTATGCTTTCTGAAATGCGAAGAGCAGACCGCTAAATCTCGCTGTCTAAATATTAAGACCACTGATTTTAGGCAGTGTACTTAATCTGCCATTCACTGTAAACAACCGATATTAATGTAAGCTACGTGCGCGCTGTGACCAAAGCTAGTTAAGCGTCACTAGTACTCACAGCTGTTGACCCTAGTTCAGGACGCCAGTTCATAAATTCTACTATGGAAAAGGCTTGAGTCATGAATATTAATTAGTAGTGAGCCAGTAAGCCTTACTGATTGGCTGAAAGGCAGACACTGGGCGGTGAACGTTTGTAGCAGGCCAATTACCTAATGGCAAAGACTCGCGCAATTAATTTAAATTAGGCTACGTGACCAAAATGTGCAGGGAAGTTAAAGCAGTGTCAGAAGTACATAATTAATATTCATGAGCTGCGCTTTCACCATAGTAGTATATGTAATTCTATTTGTAGCAGCAGCGAATGTGGTCCGGATTGTGTCTACGTGTGGAAAGTGTCAGAAAGAAAGCCAGGAAATAGAATTGGGAGTGTGAGTTTAGGGGGGTGAGTCATGATATTTTGAGATCGTGAAGTAGCAGCAGTATGCTTCATGTAAAATAGTTCTGTGTCATGAGGAAGGACAATGCATGGAGATCTTGGCTCGTGCAGAAAATTTGGTTTGTGTTTCAGATGTTCCTATCTTTCATTTTATATATGAAGAGGGTGCTTGCATTGACGTCCTAAAGGCTTAACAGCAAAATAAATCAAAGTAATTCTCGTTTCGCCTTAACGTTTAATTCTAAAAGAAAAAGAGCATGGAAAATGGCAAAATTATGTGTTTTAATGCTCAAGAACATTAGAAAGGAATAAAATTATGTATATAAAATTATATAGGCCTGTACATATTATTTATAAAATGTGTATATATATATA